GAGACAAAAGGAGAATTTGTAGATTACAACGAAGTTGTTAGATAAACGTCCAAAGATGACGTGAGGGTTGGTAAAATGTGAATATTAGCCTCTCAGATCCACTTTAGTCTCCGGTAAATCAAAATACTAAAAAAGGAAGATGCATGGAGGTGGAAAATGTGAATTCCAATAGTTATTGCTTGACACGGCCCGTTATAACTGGCACATTAAGTGTTCATGTTAGTTTCTACTATTTAAGCTACCAGCACTTGTTCTTCCTCACGCCGCGTAGATTATTTCACTATAGTTTCTAATACGAATCCCGATAACCAGGTATTTTTCGACAGAATAGTTTCTTCAAGAATCAAGCAAAAAAGCTAGATGAAAGAAGGTACAAGAAGAATATTACGCTTAAACGGAAAAACTGCATAATTCTCTAACCAAGCAGACGCGAGACTAAAGAACTCCACAGTGAAATATGTTGAGAACTTGTTTATCTTTCCTATTTTCTTGCTGCAAAACTGAAATCCGTGTATTATTTAACGAAATAGATTTAGCAACTATGCCTACTCGTAGATTCACGTGCGGATGCGGTCCGTGCCGCCCTCAATGGGTAAAAATGGTTGACAGTCTTTACTCAGACAATCATACTGTAAGTTTTTTTAAATCATTACTTATTTGCGTAGGATGGGACAAACAAACTTGTTTGTTATTGTGTTCGCAAACCAGACAAATTGGACAATATTGCCAAATATCTGCACAAAAGACTGTCATACGATTTGAACCATCTGAATTATGAGTACGATATATTTATTTATCCCTTACTGCCTGCAGAAATGTTAATATAACTGTAGAGGCCATGAGCGCTCTAGTTAACGCTTGTTACGCTGTTAAATTAAACTTGTTTGATTCGAGTTTCCTAAAAATGGTACAACTGCTGCTTGAATCGAAACTTCCCGAGCTGCAACTACTGGGAACGAAATCGGTATTTGCGTTCGCAGTCGTTCACCGTTTTAGTTCCTTGCCTTTTCTCAGATCGAAGAGGACGCTCCAAATTACCATCGAGAATATGACGAACTGATTGACCAGTTTTGTCGCATGTCATATTCAAATTTGCCTGATATCGAAGAAAGAAAAAAGTACTTCTTTTAATTCTCACCAGCTCTTCAGGGTTCGCGTTGCAGGAATACAGGGTTTGCAAGGAGTCGTCAGAAAAACTGCTCGTGATCAATTGAGGATGAATGTGTTACAGAGCGCCAGCATGGATCAGATCATTCCTGCACTACTTTTCAATATCCGAGAGGGGTAATGTGACACATCCGACTACATTTTTTGATTATTTGCGTTTGATTTGTTTGGGGACAAAGTGTCGTTCGAACCAGTTCTCTGTGGCATACAGCCCATCCAAATTAGCCTAAGAGGTAGTCGCCGTATTAAACTAGTAAATAAATCTGAACAGATCATACTGTTTATGCAGTTAATATGCATTTAGTTCTCTAATTTGATAATCTATAATTCTGGTATGCACGCCTTTCCTTTCTGAAAACTACTATAGACTCCAATAGTTTCTTTTTGAACTTGTATTCTGCTATAGATTTCCTTCATAATTGCTTAATCCTGCATACTTTCTTGGCGTATTTTGAAAATATACCAGGACTATAAAGGCTTTTTTGCCACCGAAAGTACTTTCTTAGTTTTCATTTCTTTTCTTTATGCCTTCTATTCAATCAACACTACATTACATGAGAGCCGTCCTCCTTTCTTCTGTCTTATATCGGCACTCCGTGACATATTTAAATTCCACAGGCAAATTTGAAAAAAATGGTTATATTTGTTCACAAAGTATCCTAACACGGACTCGTGGAGTAAAACATTCTCCCTGCCGCCTTAAATATGGCAGCACGTTCGGTTGAGAGTTCCCTTTCCACTTATCCGACTGCATCCTTTATCTCGATCTTGCAGGATAATTACATAAATATTGTGCTCCTTTTTATGTAGCTATCCTGGATTTTGCATTACTACCTCTATTACTACATTTATTCCTCACTTCACAAACTTGGCCCGTTACAATCTCATTTCTATGAATCGTGGCACTTCGTCAAACCTTGCTCTGTGTGGTTTAAAATGACCTTTTGGTTTTTGAAAACTGTAGGTATTAATCACATCATATAAATTTTCAGGTCTCCTACGGGTGAAGAGCCGGATGAATCAGAGTTAGAGCCTAGCAGGCAGGCGGTGTTTGTCTTCAAGGATGTTGTTTGCCGAGCGTCCTACACAAATATCGTACCTGTAGTTAAGGCTATACTTTCGTAAGTTTTTATACCATACTGTTTATTCAGACCGCATGTAACCTACACTTTTATATTTTTAAGTTATTGCTTGAAAAAGCTGTTTTTTAAATACACAGATTTTGCGTCGACGACGTTATACACTCGTGTTGGTAAAATTTGCTTCGAGTTTTTTCACTGTCGACTCTTTGTATTTAGCCTGTATAATCTGCTTATCGATGCTTACTGGCATTTTCCAGTCTACGGCTAGGAGAACCAACGATTAAACCAAAATTTCAGTTGATTCAAGTAACCCACCTTTGCCTAGTACTTCGTCTTATTTCACAATATTATGGATGATTAAGGTTGGTTACTTTCAGACTTGTGATCTGTGAAGAACGACAGCAAGAAATTTAGTGACGTTGCTGCTATTACTAATCTTCACATTGACATTACATGAGCACTGACGGAGCGGTGTTATTCGAACCGTAATGCGGATGTCAAAATTTGTCTTCCACCATTTAAACTACACTTTTTGTTTTTAGTACAACGCCATTCTTCTCGCAGGTAACTGCATGTTCGCTAGTAGTTTAAGCCGGACGATACTATATTCGGTAATCTAAATTTGTCGGTAGAATGGCCACCTTCTGATGCCTTCAATTTAGCTAGTTTGTTCGCTAGTCCCATGATCACCGTGAATCACCCTGTCACGTATGCACTTGAGGTCCACTTTAAGATTAATCTGCCTACGTTTTCAAGAGGCCACCTCGACCCTCTTACCTATTACGTTCATAACAATCAATTTATGGCACAACTTCTCCCTAACTTCAAACCCATTACATAGACAGGCTGCTTGACTTGACAAGTACGGCATGTTTGCAGTTAAGACCGAACTGTATAATAGGTCTTCCACCGCGCGAGAATTCTAAGAGTCGAATTTTAATGTCCCCAGGAGTCAAAAGAAGCCTTTAGTTAGGTCCAGCATTTTCTGCATACTCTTAACCATTGTGGATTTCCTACCAAGCATTCAGATGCAGCCGAATTCTTCAGAATTGGTGGCCTGATCTTTCCTATAGATTTACGATTGAGGTGTATGTAGGGTCATGGAAATCCCAGAGCTTATTACGAGCTGGAATTTCTACTTCGTGGCTGGTCCTTTAGTCTGCAAGACAGTTGTGATAAGATGAATTTCTTTGCGAGTTGTTCATCATCATCATCATCATCCAAAGTGTAATCGCGGTCAACGTTATCATCCAGAGTAGTCGGTATGGTAGAATTAAACAGTCCCTTCCTGATAACACCACTAGTAGCCTATTACCGATTCACCAGACAGAGGTTTCTGTGAATTTCACGACGGACTCCTCCGAGTGACTAATCGTAGAACGGGCAGCAAAGTTAAGAGGCAATCCACACCTCAAAAACTAAATATTATGGTAAATATTCCTCCACGTTTAACTGTCCGCGTTCGATTGCATTTTTAAAATTATTCTCTTTGGGAAGTGGTTATTTTTGTGCGATGAAGTTGACGTTTCAATCAATAAAATTTTATTTCGCTGCTTCCGTCCTAATCGCGGCCTTTTGTCGCCAACGCTGCTTCTGTTGCGTAAGTGTCGTAGGGAACATGTAGTTAAAAGGATGTCTAAAGAATGGTGTGCGCCGGACGGCAAATTACTTATCAATTAGGTCCTAGTGATAGCAGACTTACAGAGCATTTACCGCACCTTCTCCCTTACCCACATGGCTACAGTGTCAGGGCAGTTTCAAGACGACCGGAGGCAGACTCGAACACATTAGCTTTTCACCCACGGCTTGGTCCTCACTTCATACGCCAGACATTTACCACTCATCTGCAGACACTTCACGTATCCCTGTCACATAAATCGCCACACGAAAAGTGGTGGACATTTTCGAATTTTCGTCGTTCAAAGTTATGCACTAATTTCCTTCCCCTTTATCCGACCGCTGGCATTCTTCCGCTTTAACGAAAAAAAACAGAATTTTCTCCCTTATTTCTTTTATATACTTAGTGATGCTGCCTGCTGAGTACATTTGCATGTCCATGAAGGAGATGAACTTCCACGACAACTGCTTAATTCGATAAGTGTGAAATCTGCATTGTTTGCGTGTGTTAAACCATGGTGCCTAGGAATTTTTTGCCGAAAATTTTGCGTTTTTCTTTCTTTTGCGTTTTTTTCTATTCCTCCCCCACCTATTTAGACACAAATTTTTATCGAAAACTTTATTCTTTTTTCTTCGATCAGGTATCTGGACGGACAGCGCATCTGGGTACCCAGCGACTTTGCTCTTCTCATCTTCGGCTATCTGCTGGACTCGATCAAGGTCAGTTATTATTATGTATTTGCCTACTGTCTCACTTGCTTTAAACCCGAGAAGAAGATGATCATTAGTAGAGAACATTCTTTTCAGGGTATTCCTGAATATCTACCATCATTAACAGATACTTTTCGGGTAAAAATGTATTACAAACACGAAATTGCACAACGGATAATCAAGGAATATAGTTTGATTGGCTTGTGAATGAGGAACTGTATGCGAAGCATTAAAAAAAACCACCGCCCAAGTTGTGTCCATTGTTTGCATTGAATTTCAAAGC